CTGAAATAAAAATCCTAATTGAAAACTGTTTTTACCAAAATTATTTTTCAAACTGTTTGCTTTCGTTCGAAGTTGCTCGCAGAAAAAGATAAAAAATATATTTATATTTAATAACAGTATGATTTTTGTTGCAGACATTGCATACAGATGTCACACAAGCTGAACAGTAATAAACCACAACAATACTTTTGTCGAACAAAACAGAAATTAGAATCTATGCGAAAATATTTTATAGAACTGAAAAAAAGCTATCAATAAAACCAATTTGATAATACATATTTTAGTAATAATAAGAAATTCTTATTTTTGTGACGTATGCGAATGTTTTTCTAAGCATAGCAATGCTGGCTTCAAAAATTTTCTTTTGTGTGAAATTATATAAAGTTATTTGCAAAAGATAAATTTGGTAGTATATAAATACTTAGAAACTCATATTGGATCACACTAGTCTTTCTTACAGTATTTTATCAATAATAGTTACGTCTATAATCTTCACAAATATTCAGATTGTGAGAGCATCAGTGGAAATTATTTAGAATTATACTGAATTGTCGAAAATTCACATTGTAAATGGTTTCTTTTTTATAAATTCAACAGTCAATTATCAGGAAAAATACAACAAATATATTGTGCGAAATTATTGTGCCATTAAATAACATTCATAATATTATTTATTCAGTCGCATTACTAAGAAAAATGCTTATGTATTCAATTATATTTGCTTCGATTTTCCATTATACGATTATTTCTCAAGCAGTTCAATGGCCTGCGCCATATCCTATAGAAGTCAGGAGACAATGCAGTGGTGCCACGGGGAGGATAATGTGTAATGGGAAACCGTCTTCCCTTACAAAAATCAGACTATACGATGAAGACCGTTCGTTTAATTATCACTTTTCTTAATCATCAACTATTTTTTACGTGAAAAATTAAATGCATAGATGCATAACTCATCAAATATAACCTGTGAAAAGAAAAAGGATTTACCATATAAATAACACACAGAAGATGCTGCATATGAATGACAAAGACAGTCATTCAAACAGACACTACTGAAGCATTACCTGATGCTTATTTCCGCAACATAAAACTGCGTATTTTCAGGCTCAGTTAAATACATGGATGGTGCTGATTTAATGGAAGAAACTCTTTCTAATGCGACTGGGTATTTCACGATCCATGGCTGTTTGCTTGAGATATTAGATATTATCCCTAGAATTGACGTTTACCATTCTTGTAACCTAAAACCTATGGTAATTTATTTCTGTTACGATTATATTTAAAATTTTCTCCTAAGCATATCCATCAATTTCGCAATCCTTCAGGAATGTCCACGCATTCGACAGGAATATATACCATACCGTTACATACATTCTCCATCAACGGAAAAGCAATTTTACAATTTTGGAGAAATCGACGTTACTGAGCAGTCAGGGAAAGAAAACAAAGAATGTATACTGCACTCAGAAAATGGACACTTCTTCTAAAATTCCGCAATTATATGTTAAGTCTTGTACTGAAAACTTTCACCGAACTTTTTGGTCGTTTTGCTAATTATTTTTCTACCTTGTGAGCGTATACTATAATTGGCTAGCGGCAAATGAAACTTTGAAGTTATGGACCTCTTGAGTTCACGTCTTAATGTACTGCCCACACGCAACAGTAAGCATGTATTGCTGAAATACTCATTCCCCTCATTGTACTTGGTACTACTTCCAAGAAGTTCGTCTGCGTGATATTTTGCTCAAACATTCGACACACTGCAATATTACCTACGGTGCGTCGAGAGTTCGAGTCATGAAGAACACTATCTGATGTAACCAGTGATAATAAGAAAACAACAATTTTATGTACATTATTCACAAAACACAATAAATCGTCTCCAAAAAAAAAAGAAATTTAACTGAACTCAATATACACTATTTTTAACATTAATTCACAAAATAAATAATAAACAGCTTGACTTCAGTAAAAAAAGTTTTTTTCACTCATATATCAATCAATATGATAAGACTTAATAAACTCATTGATCGTATGCGTTTCACTGGACGTCTCTCCCTAATTACTGCTCTACTCTTCTTACAACTTTCATGGTTTGGTTTGTGAGCCCTAGCTCTTTCCTTCTATCAAAATACCAATCTGAATTAGACTGACATGATGACAAATGAAACACAACGAAACTTAAAAAAGGATAATCGTACTACCATATAATCTATGGCCAAACTCTGGAGGGTAGGTACAGTTCATGCTAGACCATGCGCCTTAATTACAAATTTCAAGTCTAGATCAGATAAGTTTCCAAAATTTCACAAATGAGGAATATCCTCGTCAACTTGTGAAACCAATAATTGAAAACATGTCAGAACATACGTAACTACAACAATCATTTCATGCTGATTTCTAAAATGAAATGAGCTGAGATTGTCCTGTTTCATACTGTAAGTTAAGTCTTATTAAAACTAAGGAAAAAAAAAACTAACTTTATTTCAACGGCTTCCAATTTCTTAAAATTCAAAATTTTTCCGGCACTGGCAAATATGCTTTTTGCCAATTTCGTAGCTTCGTAGCCTATAATGTCTAACAGATTTGTCCTTTTCAAAATAAAATCTCGTCTTGAAGAAATAATGATCTCCGTTATTCTATCACGTTACATTGACAAATCGGCCGCTGAAGATGGCTAATACCACCAATCTTGTATTGCTTCGAGCAGCGAGTCTTCTTTCCCATATCGCTTTACGAGCTGCGGAGTTTTCAGCACAGGAAATGCTGAAGATCTTGTACCCAGCCTTCGAGTACAATGTTGCTGGGTACATCGTCGAATCGCCTCTCTACGACAGGGATGGGTAGCTTTATCAAGCACATCATGAAGACAAAAATGAATTCGCTCGACGTTGTAGAGCCTATGTTCTACTTCACCTCGCAGAGTATCGTCGCATCAACACTTTACCTAAACAACAATAGTTAAAATGATTGCAATACCTCCAACTAAACAGTCACAATTAATAGATAAAACATCATTTTGTATTCAAAAAAAAATGTCAATGTCACAGTTCTTCTGAAGTGTATCGTTCAG